TTTAGTAGTTTTTTATAGTCGCGGAGGACTGCAGGATACTATTAGATGCTCTGATGGCTTCTGGTAACTTATTCCATGTATGCCCACATCTATGGAGGAAGAAGTTAAAACGTATGGCGCAACGGGTTTTGGGTAGTAAGAATGAGTGTGGCTTTTTGCGTAGAGGATAGCGTGTGTCGCTCAGCGGTTGAAAATAGCTTTCAATACTTAAGTCCGAGGTTTTTATTAGCTTATATAGAAAAATTGGGTTGGTTTTCAGTCTCCGCAGGCTATGCTGCCTACTTAACTCTTTCTCACCAGGTAACCTCTGTAACAATATTACGTTTTTTTCTCTCTACCCTTTACAACCCTGCATTTCCTATATCTACTTGTTACGGATTCGTCGCCGTTTTACACCTTCTATTTTCCTTTAGATACAGCTTTCTTTTCCTCTAACTCACCAAGTACCTCCGCTGCTCCACTGACTTACCTTCTACGCTATAGCTCTGCGCTATTGCGCACAGTACCGCTAGTAGTTGGCTACGGTGCTTACCTACATACTTGCCTCAAAGTGTCATCCTTATCAATAATAATGTTTCTTTTCTTTAACCTAAATAAAACTGCGCTATTCCCACTTCACACCAAATTTTTCCCCTGCTTTGACTTAGGATTCTTCTTATAAATAAATAAATAAATAAATTTTTATTCTCGACAATGCGAGGCACACCATTACAGGCATGATCATATTTAGCTAACATAGTGTGATCAAATTGTACAAAAGTACATGTTTGGCATAACAGTGTATGTAAGTATGTGGGTGTAGATACGTACGTAATTGTGTAGGAATGTGCCTTGTGTTTTTGAATGCGCCGCAGAATTTTTGATTGTTTGTTATCGCCAGGAATGTGAGAATAGTTTTGGCTCTGCATTTCCTTTTTAATTACGCACCACCTGCCTTGGCTTCTCCACCAACTTGCATTTGTCACTGCTGCTCCACACCTTAGTGCGAATGTCCTTAGCCTTTTGCTGCCTTGCCCAGCTATATCCATCTTACAAGCTAAGTTATCTATCGCAAATCATTGTTCCAGTATGTAACCTAGCAACCCTGCATATCCCCTCTTCAACGCGCTTCGTATCCACTGCCCAGTCTTACTCCCTAGTTTCTCTCTTTGGCCGTCGTTTTCATCACCTCTTAAACACCGTCAACCTCCGCTGCTCCACCGACTTACCCTCTAAATTGTCGCCCCGTACTTAGACGAAAGTCCGCAAGTACTTGTCTACGCTGCCCACGTATATCCTTATCCTAAGTTGAGAACGTTATCTAATTATATCACCTATATTAAACGGTTAATCCTTGCAGATTCTCTCTTAAGCAAGCTTAATATCCCTTATCATGTCCTACTCCTTCTCTTACCTCTATGGCTCTGAATTTCCTTTCCTCGTACGCACCACATGCTTGCCTTTTTCTACTAACTACATGTCGCACCGGGGCTCCGCTGCTCTGAACCAATGGCTTACTAGATTTGCCAGTGTAGCACCTAGAAGTCTAACCCTAAGCAAACTTCTTTCGGCTGGTTTAGTACAGGTTTCACTTTTAATCATAATAACGGCGCAGTCACTCTTTACCTCACTTCGCATCCCTTGCCTTGTCCTACTTGTTCTCTTAGATCTTCGGCCCTAGCTTTACTTACGTTTTGCTCACCGCATACCTCTGTTGCTCCACCGCGTTACCTTTGACACTGTAGCGTCACACTGTCGTGCGTAAGGACTCAAGTTATTGGCTTAGTTGCCAAGCTATATCTATCCCCAAACTAACACCGCATTGCTAATAATAGGTCCAGAATTTAAACTTGTTAACTTTGCAGTAACCCCTTTCGTCTCGCGTCTTCGCCCTTGCAAATTCCTATCTCATCTCCGTTGCCCCGACTTTCACTTACAGCTACCTCCTACTCACCATGGCTGCACAAACGAGTAACCTATGACACCGCAGCTTTGCCCAATTCTGCGAACGACCTAAAAATTTTGGCTGTACTGCCTACCTAACTCTTCCCCCAAGCTGAGCAGTTGTCAGTAATTAATTGTTCTTCTATATCCTCTAAAACACTGCAATTTTCCTTTACCCCTTATTACCCACTTCCTTGACTCAGTCATTTTCTTATCCCTTTGGCTCTAGCTATAATTTCCTCTTACGCAGCACCAACCTCTACGGCTCCACCGACTTACCGTTGACACTGTAGCTTCGCACGTTTGTGCGAAGGACCTCAATATTTGGCTATGCTGCCAAGCTAAATCCATCCCACAAGACGCCAGCGTTATCAATATAAATATTTTAAAATATTGTTTTTTTATTTAACCTTACTAACTGCATTTTTCCTCTTACCCATTTATTTCATTCCCTGCCTTGACTTAGTCTTCATCTCATATGTTTGGCTTCGTGGTTAATTATGACGTACGCACCAATTAACTTTGCCGCTGCACTGACTTACAATTAATATTGTTGTTGTTTTGCACCTTAGTGCAAATGACCTAAGTTGTTGGCTGTGTTGTCTAGCTAGGTCCTTCTTCAAGCAAACAGAGAATGCTCTAATAAGGGATCCAATGCTTACAATAATAACACGGCCTTATTCTTCTTTACCTCGCCCAGCATCCTTGCGCAGCCCGCCTTTACTTATCACTATTGTTTTGGCTATAATCTTTACTTACGCAGCACTCACCGCCGCTGCTCCACCGACTAATCATTGGCACAGCCGTTTCGCACACTTGTGCACAGGGCATCAAAACTACCTATGTTGCTCACCCAAATCCATCCCTCAAACTGGCATCCTTGTCAATGGTAACGGCTCCTCTATTTAACCATTCCAAGACCGAATTTGCTCTCTTCACCTGTTTCGTCCTCTGCCTTGGCTTGCTCCTTACCTAATCTCTTGGATTCTAGCATCAATTACCTCTTACGCAGCACCTAACGTTGCTGTTTTACCGACTTACTATTGACATAAGCTCCATGTCTTTTTATAAGCTACCCATTTGCCTTGTTTGTCTTCTCCTCCGATGGCCTTACAGACTGCAGCCCGGATGCAGCCACTGATAGCCCAAACAATACTAGGAATAGTTTGGCAATCATTTGCATAATGCACTCGCCACCTGAGACATTGTAAATATTACCCGAGCATTACATGCGCAAAGCTCAGTCATAGTAAAGGCTTAAGGCAAGCTGCTAACGCACTTTAATATCTTCAGTAGTGTGAGACAAGCATGCCCGCTGTCCCATTCCTTCTCAACTTCGCTATTGACGAAGTCATAGGAATGGCGTTCACAGGACGCAAATTAGCAGGTATGGATCTGCTCCCAGGAGAACTAGTTCTTGTCTTTTTGTATGCTAACGCTATTTGCCGTAATCTGCGACAGTTCACAAACGTGCCATGCGGTCTAGGGCAGATTAGCACTGACTGTCTGTTACTTAGGCTTTGCATCCAAACCTCGAAGTGCAAAAGTTTCCTCCAAGCTTTGCTTGCACTGCCTCTTACGCTGACTCCTGGTGGGAATCAGCTGGAAGTCGTTCAAAAGTGCAGCCAAATGAGAAGTTATATCAGCGTTGGTGGAAATTAAGATGTGATCACAAACCGGATAGCAAAAGCTATATATGTTTTGCTAACTTTCGTCATTTATGGAGTCGGCGCGACATCAAGCTTGCCATCAAGATAGGGTGTGCAATGCAGCGGTACATTGGTTCATACTGCAGGGTTTTGAAACCTTGCCCCTTAGCTAAACGGACATAAAGCATCTAGTTACGTCCGACCACAGGTGCCTTCGCAATTTAGCCCACATCTGGTGGGAACGTCGCGTGAGCAACGAGCATGTTCGACGCATTCTTTACAGCGCATGTAAGGGAATGAACCGCTTAGCACTATTGTTTCGTGCACTAAGCGCCGGTGACTCCACCACCGTTACCTATGCCAGCCAAGCCACTCCCGCGACCTGCGCTTTTGCGCGCCGGGGGTGGATAGAAGAAGCGGAGGGGTACCTTGATCATTAGAACGCAAAGGGTACCCACGCAGTTTCCTCCGAAGATGCTTAAACTGCTATCCCTAAAAACCGAACCTACGTCAGCTATGATGAAACGTATAGTTCTGCCGTACATAAAGAACGTGTCTGAACTGACTGCCAGGTTGTTTAAACAACATCATATCATGGCAGCGCACGAGCCAACCGCCTCTCTGTGTAAAACATTATCAAAACCAACAGGAAAGCGAGAGACAATAGAACGACGGAATGTCGTATATAGAATAAACTGCTTAAACTGTGAAAAGTACTATGTGGGACAAACAGGAAACATGCTGTCTAGCAGGATACGTGAGAACCAAATAGCGTGCAAGAACCATTACTCCACCTCATTGGTTTCAGCACAATTGGATGAAGAGGGACACAGGTTCGATTGGAACAAGTTAGTGATCTTGACCGAAGGAAAAACACAAAAATGGAGGGAGATTCTCTAAGCCTGATTCTCAACCACGAACTCAATCAACTTGTATATCGACTCTCCTCCAACATAACAACTGCTGAGACGTAGAGGGCTCAAGGGGATCGACAACCATTGTCCGAAAGAAAGTAATCCAACACACGGACAATGAACAGCGTGATCGATATGAGCCCAGACAACGTACCTACATCCGTTGCACTAATCTGAGTGCGATAATCCCAACCACGTTGCAACAACATTTCCGAAGCCAAGGGCAATGGCCCGAGCTCAACCGCTGAACACAAGGATTCACCAATGCGCACGTGGCAAACTTAGTAGCTGTTACACTCAACCAAAATCAGAACAACGGTATTGCAAATGGAAGTTTAGTAGAAGCAATGGCAATAGCACATCGGTAGTCCACGCTGAGCACAGCTCAAGTGTTTAGTTTTACGCAGTCCACATATTTCAGCTAAGCACTTGCTTTTGAACCAATCAATGTGCATCGGTGGTTAGCCGGGAGATGGACACTCACGCACTGGCCCGCATAATGCAGCTCCACAGGCTAGGTAGTGTAGGATGACCTTGAAGCGCTCAACGTCTGTATCACTTTTCCCCACTTCAGTTGGAGCTGTCCGGCTTGGAAACGATCTACCGGTCGGCGTCGGCGCTCAGAGCGCCGCAATTGTAACTCAACTACCGGTTGGGCTTCGCGCACGTGCATGTCGTTCGATGCTTGAGCTGGCTGCTCTGTCTTGGCAACTTTTTCTGTGTCGGACAATTTCGGTCGCACATGATCTAAATGGCGTCGAACGATCCCGCCATCCTCAGTCTCTGCTTCTATTATCTGTCCGTTAGTTGTTTTAACGACGGCTGGCTCCCACCCCGAGCCTGTAGGTAGGCGGATGTAGATGGGATCTAAAGCTGTCACATGCTTGTCTCTGCTGCAAGTAGCAAAACGATCTTTCACTCGTTGTTGTTTTTCCGAAACTTTTGGCTCAATAGATCCATGCAATAAATCCAATCGTATACGCAGTCGACGACCAAACATTAACTCTGCGGGGCTTCTGCCTGTAGTCTCGTTTGGCATGTTTCGATATGCGAACAAGGAACGATCCAAACGCACACACAGCGGAGCATTTGATTGTTTATTAGCAGCTTCTCCACTGTTTGTACGGCTCTCTCCGCCAACCTATTAGAAGAAGGATGATAGGGTGCAGTTTTTATGTGTTTATTGCCGTTCGAGTTAAGGAAGGTAGAAAACTCAACACTGGCGAATGCTGGACCATTGTCAGATACTAATGTCTCGGGAAGGCCAAAGGTTGCGAACGTTGTGCGTAGTTTCTCCATAGTACGACCTGAATTCGCTAAAACAAGAATATGGGCATCAATCTATTTAGAGTGAACATCGATGATTAGCAAAATCATCCGACTTTCGTAGGGACCGAAATAGTCTCCGTGGACTCGTTTCCAGGGTGTTTCTGGCCACTTTCAAGGCTTCATTGGCGCATGAGGAGCGGCGTTTCGGGTCTCCTGACAAGGTCTGAAACTTCCAACCTTCGCCACAATATCACGGTCTAATTCAGGCCACCACACATAAAATCGAGCTAACGATTTCATCTTTGCGACACCTGGATGCGCATCATGTAGTTCGTCAAGGATACTTGACCGAAATTTCTTGGGGACAATAACTCGTGCGCCCCACAGCAAGCATCCATTCTGGAGGCTGAGTTCAGACGTCCTGTTACGAAAGGGCATGAGTTCTTTGTGGGTGTTGTCTGGTCACCCAGCTTGGACATAGCGTTTGACCAACGATAGAACAGAGTATCTGTCAGTTTCCTGAGGTAAGTCTGTACATGTGACTGGGGAACCATTAAAATGCTGGACAAGGTTCACAAGGTCTTGTGGGATAAATTCTTTCGATGGAGTCTCTGGTAAGGGAAGCCGGCTAGGAACCTCAGCGGGAGTATTCTGTTTGCCTGGAACATACTGAATTACGTATGTATACGCAGAAAGAATAAGCGACCAACGTACCATCCTAGGTGAAGCCATTTGTTGAATACCTTTCTGGTGTACACGGAGGAAAACAAGAGGTTTCTTATCCGTATGGATCACGAAAGGTCGCCCCGGTAATTATTGATGAAATCGAGTGGTGCCGAAGATGACAGCGGCTGCCTCTCGATCAAGTTGTGAGTAGTTCCGTTCTGCTGGTGTCAGGGTTCTTGAAGCATAAGCAATGGGACGTTGAGAGCCATTTGGTAATTTGTGCATTAAAACAGCTCCCAGATAGTAAGGTAAGGCATCACAAGAAAGAATAACAGGCTTCTGCGGATCATATTGCACAAGAACATCTGTAGATGCTAAGAGCCGCTTGACCGCTTTGAATGCATTTTCATGAGTATTGTTCCACTTCCAGCTTTGGTTTTTACGTAGCAGCTGGTGAAGCGGGTGCAGATGCGTTGCTGCCGAGGGTAGAAACCTAAAAACCTGAGTGCAAACACCGAGTAATTACCTCAAATCCTGAACCTTTTTGGGTGCTGGCCCCTCAAGTAGCGCCTTTGTCTTTTCTTCCAGTGGGCACACTCCTTCAAGTGACAACCGATAGCCAAGATACTGCACACTCGGTACAAGGAATTCACACTTTTGCCTTTTCAGAACCAAACTGGCATCCGATAATCGCTTCAGGGCGACGTCCAATGTATGTAAGTGCTCGGCGGTAGTTCGTCCAGTAATTAAAATGTCATCTAAGTACGCACATGTGTTTGATATATCTTTCACGAGTGAGTCAATAATACGTTGGAAAATAGATGGAGTCGAGCTTATTCCAAAAGGCATGCGTATATAGCAGAATAATCCGAGATGAGTACTAATGGTGATGTACGTGGGTGATTCTTCGTCGAGTTCAATTTGTTGGTAGGCATGACTCAGATCTAGTTTGATAAATAGATCATCACAGGAAAGGGAAGAGTAAAGGTCTTCAATCTTTGGTAGCGGATATCGGTCTAATGCTAACGCTTGGTTTATCGTAACCTTGTAATCCTCGCAGATTCTTATCGTACCATCGCTCTTTAATACTGGCACAATTGGGGCTGCCCAGTCTGAATACTGGACGTGTTCACCGGTGCCTTCAAACTGGAGTCGGCGCAGTTCACTTTCGACCTTATCACGGAGGGCATAGGGAACAGTACGAGCCTTCCAGAACCGCGGTTTTGTCTGTGGTTTCAATACCAGGTGTGCACTGTACTTCTTTAAACTTCCTGATCTCAACTGAGCAAATAAGGCTACATGCTTCTGCAAAATCTTGGATAACTGCGGATTGTCTTTCACCCGGTTGACGTTCGACGTTATGCCAGGAAGGCGCTTAATTCCATCGCGGCCCAGGATGTTCGGACCCGGTCCTCCAGAAACGTACACACACATATGACTCGTTGAATTACGGTAAGAAATGCGTGCATTGAAGGTACCAAGCACCTTCACCATCTGTCCTGTGTAAGATCGCAACTGTATGTTCGGTGGACACAGCTTTGGAAGTTGGGATAAGGCGTCTGGTCGCATCAAAGTGACTGCGGAACCTGTATAAATTTCAAACTCCACCGATTGTTCGTTTACTTGGGCAGATACGACAAACGGTTTTTCTGCTGTAATGGTGCAATAAAAACGGTTGTGGTGTTATTCCAATTCTGTTGCAATTTCATCAGTAATGCAGTTTGTAGACTTAGATTGTTCCTGGACGAGTGATTTCCGCTTGGAAAGACACACTTTCTGAATATGACACATTTTTCCACAAACTCTGCATAATGAACGAATGTCCGGACTGTCAGTCAAAGACAAGTGATTCTCCCCGCAACGGTAACAACGGAATTCCTTGCGCTGTACGGGGCGTGGTATGGCATGTCTACGATTAGTCTGGTAAACTTTGTTTACGTCAGGTGAGATTGATTGATTTGAAGAGGGAAATGTGGCCAGTTCCTGGACGAGGTTGGCACGCTGTCGGACTATGTCACATGCTTTCTCCCGCGTCAGTAGCGTTTCATCTTCGGAGAGCAGACGTCCTCGTGCCTTCTCATTGAAAACACTCACGGTTAAGGCCTGTAACAGCATCGCTTCTTTGAACTGGGCTGGAAGGATCTGATCATAGGCGCAGTCAAGGAGAGCAGTAGGGAGACGAGAGATTAACTCATTTACAGTCTCATTTGGTTGTTATCGCATGGTGCTGACTTTATACCGGGCAGTAAACACATGGGGCTTTTCGCCTCATATTCGGTCCAGGGAATAGAACACAGTTTTAGGTCTCGCTTCGTATGTAATTGTAAACTGTCGAAATGTCGCTGGCCCTCGATGCCGTGATGGTGGCTTAGTAATTAAATTTTCGCTGCATCATCAATCATGCAGTTTTCGCCAAGGAGCAAAAGCAAATCAACGTAGTTAGTAAATGTAGTTTTCCACTGCAACCATTGTTGCGCAGTAGGCCTTTCAGTGGAAGAATTCCAAAAAGGTTGGGGTGCCATTATTGAATTTGTTATGAGCAATCAGAATAACCTCCGTTACCAAATTGTTACACTCAACCAAAATCAGAACAACATTATTGCAAATGGAAGTTTAGTAAAAGCAATGGCAATAGTACATCGGCAGTTCACCCTGGGCACAGCTCAAGTGTTTGGTTTTACGCAGTCCACATGTTTCAGCTAAACACTTGCTTTTGAACCAATCAATAAACATCGGTGGTTAGTCAGGAGATGGACACTCACGCACTGGCGCGCACAATGCAGCTCCACAGGCTAAGTAGTGTAGGATAACCTTGAAGCGCTCAACGTCTGTATCAGTAGCCACGTATGCCTGTATGAGGAACAGAGTGGTTTCTGACATTATCCATTATTGGGTTTGCTTTCTGCCAGCTACTGCTACTTAACTGTTATCAATCCCGCACTAAAGGTGCCACCTCGAATGGTGGCGAAACGTTTGCAACCACGTTGCCCAGCTCGGTGAACTCCACGACAACTGAACTCAGCGGTCGTTCGTGAACTATGGCATGTGAAGTCTGTTTATTGCCACCAACTGTCCATCTGTAACCGACAACCTCGCTATTCCTTCGATTAATCTCTTAGATTAAGCGAACTGCTCATTAATTGTAAGTAGGAATTTTTCACTTCGTAAACACATAATTCACACTTTGATTATGCCTGACCGCGTATACCTGTACGCCACTCATTTAGTTTATGCGATACTTAAATGTATCGTCCAGAATTTATATTAAAGTACAGGATTACACTCCCAGTATCTGAAATGTCACGCATCCAACAGCTTCTTCCCACGCAACGTTATCGGCAAGCGATTAATCCCAACTTAGCGAAAGTTACACATTCCATACAGGGTTACAGCCATGGATGCAACGTAGGTGCTGCCAAGTCTTGAATGAACATAGATTCCGACATTAAGTCCAACAAGTGACCGAGGGGTTGCGCAGGTAACTGACCAAAGTGTATGACTATAGTCATACACTGAGATACAATGTCACCGGTCGGTTGTGCTGGTAGGAATATAAGCGGTGAGGGTCCAGTAACGTAGTTGCGTAGTCCAGTTATAGGTTGCTTATCTAGTTGTCTAGGTGGCTTATGTTCGATGCTTGGTAGGGACGCGAGTAAATTAACCGGTATCAACAGATCTCGTGGTCGTGCGATAGGTCGTTGTGTTCCAGTGAGCTTACTTAGGAATGTAAGCACTGTTCACACTCTTTATGAGGATGTTGACGGAATTTCTTGCACCGGTTGTTTTCCCGGGCTATATTGAGGGCAGGAGCACTGATAGTCTAATGCCATGCCTTAGAAAATACACAGAGGAGTGTGAAAGGGAGGGCTGCTGAACTTTTCGTCGACAGTCTAAAACATTCCTTACGGAATTATTTCAGAATTTCCACGGCCGGTTGGTAGACTTTATGCTGCTAGGGTCCCAGATGTGTGGAATGGTAACAAGGTACAACCAGTGGTGGTGGCAGAGCAATTAATATAGGAGGCTGGCTAGCCGAACAACCTCGTGGTGCCAGCTGGGTGGTTCGGGTTTAACCCGTTCCAGCAAATAGTTCGGCGGCAATGT